TCTTGCAGGTGGTCTAGAAGGACATCATGGTCAATGGCATGAAACACCTCTGGGAAGTCTAATAAGACAGGGGCATGCACTCTTCTCATCTATATCTTGACAAAGATTATTCACCAGAATGACCAATGTTGTTTCTGTATCTTGACGGGCCTGAACCCTAACCAGAACGGATCCAGATAGGCATCTGAAGATCTCTCCCTTGATCACAGATGGATCATAGAGGACCTAGACAGATACCTTCTAAATAGTGACTACTCATATACATATTTACCCATAAGTAATTCCAAGGCAAAGTACATGTGAAGGAAATATAGCTCAATATAGCACAGCTGCATATCTATAGACACAATGTTTGTTTTGGATTTCTACACATTCAAAAAGATTTATTACCAGAGGGGAAAAAATGTGTGTCTTTGCAGAAGGCTGCTGAGCCTTTCAATCATACAATGACAGTCATACGAATATAAGGGCATCTTTATGTAGATCAGAAGAAAAGCCTATTTTTTCTAACATCGTATTTCCCAGAGAGGGGAACTAGATGTCAATAAAATCTTAAACTGATCTTATAATACAGAAGCATGAAACTATTGATGTTCTTTCATTAAATAATACACAATTCTTCTCTTAGAATTTTCCAGGGCTGTGCTATAGAATTGCTTTACGTTCTTAAGCTAATGTCAATGCTTCTCAAACATGAGCAACTGTTTCTAAGCTTAGTCATTATCTCCCTTGCCCACCTAAATTGCTAAATGTCTTTCAGACATTACCAGGGATTAAATGAACATGCAAGTTTGGGTAGAAGGAGAGCAAAAGGCATTTATTCTTTACAAAGAGTCCTCCCAGGTTGTGCAAGGCTGACTGCAGTGCTCTCATCTTTCCCATCACAAACATACGATGCAGAATTGAAAATAGCTAGAAAAGTCTGTTTAGAGATGCCCCCAAATTCTTAGTCTGAGAGTTCAGCTACTCGATTTGGTCACAAAATGCCTCTCAGGGTCAAAGTCCAGACTTCATTGTCCCAAGTGAATCCTTTTCCCCTGACTCTTTACTAACCAACCAGGCTGATGAAACTAAGAAAGAATGACTGCATCTCACATTACACAATCCCAAAAACAAAACAGAAAGGCTCCAAAGAAAATAAAGTAAGGAAACAACACTTGCAAGGGAAAATAGGCAAAGAGCAGCAGGGCTTCTGATAAGCAACTCCTGGGACAGTCCATGTGACACACACTCACATCCTGTTCTTAGACAGAATATTTCTGTGAGGTCTACAGCATTGCCAGTAATGAACTGTGCCTTAGATGCATCCATGAATCAAACTCTTCTGGGCAGAAAAAGGCTGCCTTGCCATCATTTACTGCTTCTCCTTTTTTTGTGGACTTCACACAGAGTTTCAGGACTAAGCTCTTGAGTTTTGACAGAGCAAAAATGCAGACTAATGTATTTCCTGCTAAGTAAATTTGCAACTGAAAGAACTAGGCCACATTTTCATTAGTTTTTTTTTTTCCTTACAGAGCTGTCCTATAACTGATTTCTATCAACATGTGATTGATATGCAGGAAAACTGACACTCCTAATATCTTATTTATTATTAAAAAGTGTATGCTGCCCTTCAAAATAGCGTTCCCAAGGTAGCTTACAGAAAATAAAAAGCACTAAATAGAACAACACAACATGTTAGCAATAAAGGCATGAACAGTAGGCAACTTGGTTAAAAAATGTCATTATGGTATATATTCACAGATTAATATATTCAAAGGTTTGGGGCATCCATGGCCAATATGCCTTACTAGTGCCAATCCACAAAGCCAGAAAGTATAACAAGAGACTGGGTGCAGAGACTTTGACCCATTATATTGTTCCTTCATTTACTGTCCTATAAAATAGATCCCAGGTAGCCTAAAATCAGCCATTAGGTCTCTTCCACTGGCTGAGAGCAACAGAAGCTTCTGCCTGTTAAAGAAACCAGAGGTCAGTTCCGGTCAATAGATGCATGAGAACCCAGATGGCCAGCACTGATGAAATGAAGCTCTCTCTAATTTAGGAGACAAGCCATTAATAAGTTAATCACATAGCTTAATGAAGTAATGACTCTAGCCCTGGTTCTCATGAGGCTGTTATTCCATGTGGACAAATGGACTTGGGGTTTAATATGCAAAGCATCCTTCCTGTGTTTTATATATTGAAATGTAATCACATACATATATTACTATCAATGTGTCAACAGCAAGGAGCATTTACTGAATTAATAAAGGTGTTATCAGATTAAATCACATCCCCAAATACTCAAAGAAAATAACTAGATACATGTGCTTCTTTTATGTGCTTGTCTATAATATTTCAAGAACAATATTATTTCTGTTCTATTGTCATTGGAGGGGAGGGTGCAGCAGTATTTATCCATATTATGCCAAATACAAGAATTCTGATGCAACTCTTATTTTTGTATCCCAGAAATTCTAGCATCATACATAAAAGTCTCATAAAAAATATTAGCTACTACCATGTACCAAATTGTCATTTATCACTGCCACAGCTGCTTCCTGTCATTGCTGAACAAATTGGTGCAATTCCAAAGATCAACTCATATTTTTGCATTTTCAGGCCAAAGAATCAGAATATGGGGATGCAGATGTATTCCTCTCCATCACCACTTTTCATTCTGCAAATTCCCCCTTTCCACTACTGATTCAGGGAAATGTGATGCAGGGGACCAGGAACTGGATCTCTGAAGATTCTTCCTTGGGAGAAACCTTAGAAGCTTTCCCCAGAAGAGGAAAAATCAGGTTCAGGGGGAACACTGAAAATCAGGAAATATCACCTGGCAGAAAAGAATTACATTCTTCCTCTTTTAACTCTGTGCTACTTTTAAATGTACTTTTAAATAAAATGTGTTAGTTGGAAAAGCTGCTACAAGACTCATCCTGATTTGTTGTCACCATAGATTAACATGGCTCTCCTCCTACAATGTCTTAAATGTACATGAATCTCTTGTGACTTCGTTAACAGGGTTACTTTGCCTCAAATGGAAGGTTTTCACAAAAATGAGATATTTACCTCTATGGGAACCATCAATTGACAAATTTATTAGTAGAGTAGCTCTCTAATGGTAGGAAAAGGATCTATATATCCATATCTGTATCTCCATCATCAAAATCTGTATTTCAGTAATATTTTAGCCATAGTGAAATATTAGAAAATTGGTTCCTTATGCTGAATTTTAGCATTCCTTTTGAGACTGTTTTCAGAATTAGAAGACATTTGCTGAAAACAGGGATGGCCTTTCAAATGGAAGTCAGCACCGAAAAGAAACCCAAGGAAAGGAAGCATGAAACCCATAACAGAAAGCCCTTGACACACAGATAAGTCCCAATGAAGCAGCAGACGTTCTTCAGTATCCAATTACAGTTTTGGAGGAATAAATCACTGTTTTTGGCAAACTGGTACTGTGAATTTCAATTACATAGTTCAGTGCTTAAGAAAGGTTTGACAATTAGTTAAAATGGCTTGTCAGCTCTTACTCAGAAACAAGCCACAGAGTTATTATAACAGACTATTTTCACAAGTAACATTTGCCTAGGGCAGCGAGGCAGAGGTGAAAGAGAGAAGGAAAGCAAGGAGATCCTGTTAAAATTTTAAATTTAGTCTTAAAATCAGTCACAAACTTCTAATTCTACTTTGGGGAATGGGGTGGTTACTGTCAGTGACAAGCCTGCAGGCATGTCACACTGTATATGTACCCAGGTGAAGTATCTAATGCAAATTTCCTGCCACAGTAAAATCATAGAAGCATAGAGTTGGAAGGAGCCATTTAGATTCCTGAGCCTAACCCCAGCTGAGTAATGGATCACTTTTCCATTGTTAATCAAAATTCAGCACTTGCGGTAGGATCAAAGCTTGTATGTCTTCCTTTTCATAAAAATGATTTCTCTGTACTGAAGGCTATTGTACCTGTCACCTTCTCATTTAGCAGCCTTTGATATGCAAAGACTGCTTGAAGTTAGTCCTTGGAGAAGGAAACACATTCTTTGCTGAAGAATGTTGTTCCTTCTAGTTCTGCTTCCTATAGTCTGCCAAGCAGACGTGGAAAAGAAATGGGGCCTGTTGGGAACTGATAGGCAGTCTGGGTATTCCTGAAGAAAGAATGGGAAATATCTTCCTCTCTTGGTAGTGCTGCCTTCACCATTTTTTTCTCTCATTTGGAACTCTTCCATTTATTGCAGTAATGTGACTTAGTGCTATATGGGAAGAATACTGATAGGCCCGCAGCATACAGTATAATGTTTAGAAGGTCATCTAAGCTATGCTTTTATTGCGGTCAACGGCCACCCCTGTGTGACAGTGATACATGAAACAACATAAAAAGCACAATTTTTTACATAGTTATAAGATCCTAAAATTAAGACAATACTTTTTTGCATTAAGCAATGGCAGCTCTAAGAAATTTGTAGGAGAAGAGCTACAGCTCATGAAAGCGTATGTTTTTAATAGCATTTGCTAGTTGGAAAAGGTGCTACCTGCCTGTGGCCATTGAGGGTTGGCACCTCATGATGTTACTTGTAATAAACAACAGCAAACATTTTGGCCTTTTTCATGTTTTGGACATCAGGAGGTTTTAAGAGGCCAAAAAGGAAACACACACATAAAACCCTAAGAAAAATCAGTATGATGTTTTCGACATTTGGAGATTTTAAGGTTATACCAGGTACCTTGAGCTTTTGCAATGATTAATACTCTCAAGCTTTCCCCAAAAACAAAAAAGGAAAACAAAATCTCCCCCCCCCCCCCCCAGCCAACTGTGGGGTATGCTGCTCACAGCTTTCACTCCTTATGCAGAATTAACACCTACTAATGAAGACAGGCAGAGCTGATTCTTAGCACAGAACAAGCATTGCATATAGAACAGTTCTCTATAGCCTTCTTTTAAGTTTCTTTTCACTGGAATGTATGGATTGTAACAAACAAACAGAACAACAGAATACACATTTCTTTGCTCCTACCTGTCTAATGAGATACAGCACAGATGAAGAATTGATGCAGTAGTGAGGAGGACGTCGAGGGAGGTACGAACCAAACAGAACATCCTTCCATAAACCCAGTTATCCTGAACCAGCTCAATAGCTCCAAACGGCATCACCAAAACAGATACTAGCAAGTCAGCAAAGGCGAGAGAGACTATGAAATAATTGGTCTTGATTTTCCTGTAAAATGAGATATACAAGTATTGATTCACAAGCATTAGGCAATAGTTAGCAGGATCAATTTCTGAATTTAAAAATGTCCACCCATTTACTGTTTTCTTTCTATATTAATCAAAGGCCTGTTTTGAGTATATATAGTCCTATGGCCAATATTTGTTTATTCAGAGAAGTTGCTCCAAAAGGAATTCATTCTCCTGCATGTGAAAATTATCTAATCTGTTGATATACATATTACCCTAATCATCCATACAGAACTGATTTCTATTTTAGTAGTTTTTCAATTTTAACAAGTTCGTTTTAGGTGCTTTTTCCATTTTTAAAACATTAAAACAATATTCATTAGCAACCATGGTCAGCAAATACATTATGTAAAGCTATAATTTATCCATAAAAATGATGTATTTTTTATTAATAATATTCTGATAGTAACTTGATTTCATACATTTTGGAGCACCCTATTTTATTTGATTTTTTAAAAAGCATTTATGAATACAGCATTTTCTAAAACTGGGGCATAAAACTCCCACTGTTTTCTGGCTCTGAGAAAGTTTTCATTTCAATATTTGCCAAGCATTACAATCAATATATTGCAGGTTCTTTAGAATGCATGTATTTAAACTGCAAGATAAAGTGAAGTTTGCAGACTCAGAAGCTTTAGCTGGCATCAAAAGATGTATAGGTTCATGCCAAGAAGAGAATGATATCTCAACAAAGAACTTTCTTTGTTGTTTTCTCAGCAACTGTCAGAGCTACGAATTGAGAACCTGTTTTGCAGTCTGATCTGCTAGAAACCAGGAAAAGAAATGGTAAGAGTTTCTCCTAAGTTCCCTTACCACTGAGGCATTTCTGCTTTTGAAATATGTAATAAAGCTTTCCTTCTACATCAGTACACAATGGACTACTCATTTCTTTACTATAATATTAACTGCTGCCTTGGAGGCTTCGAATGTTAGACTATACTACACAAAACAAGAAGAAAATCTGATACAAGTTTTTCCTCCATAGCAGCTACGTAATTCAGTTCTAAGAGCACTGTTTGCTTTGGATGTAACTTTCCAAGAAAGAAAAGGTTATTAAATTGCCAACTTAATTAAATAAAAATACTAAACAGAAATAACATATCTACATAGAAATAATTGTTTGTTGTTAAATTTGCTTGTGTCTCTGTGTGTGTAAAGAGTATAAAGAGATATCCCCATTCAATCTGTACTTGTCTGAAGAACTGTCATCATTGTTTTACAATTTATTCTACATTGCTGACTAATATTTATCTTGTTTCATATTTTAAAATGCCTTACACACTGGTTATATATTAAATAGCTTTAATAAACAGCATGTTCTTCAAATACTTGAGGTCAAAAACAGCAAGCAAAGCATATAGATTGCACAATTTATTCAAGTGAAACAAAACTTTTTGCTATGAAGATATGTGGGGCAGAATAGAAGCAAAATAAAAACAAAAACTGAACACATATATTACTGATAAATAATGGATATAATTGTCTATTATAATGCTTTATTAAGCTTGGAAACAAGGTTTGAAAAAAAAAGAAAATCTGTGTTTCAACAAACAATGGTTGGTTTTCAAGCTTTAAGAAATCTTTCTTTTAAACCCTTTCTAAAATGCTTATCTTATCTGAAGGATTTAAAGTTCTGGGAACTATCACAAAATACCTATTTCCTGGCAGGTATCAATGAGACCCTAGCTTCTCTCTAAATTATTTTTAAATAAAAGTATCTAAAACATAATCAAATTAAATGGGGCATGGAACCTGGTAGGTACCAAGGCAAGTGTTGCTCAGAACACTGACTTACATGGATGTTAAAGACTCAGGAATTAAGCTCTTCCAATTACTTTCTTTTCCCTGTTTTTAAATGTCTGAAATCTACCCTGAATGTATTATCCGCATCTTTAAAGCCTTCATAATTTTCTCTTAATTCTGTGTATGCTGGGAAAATCCTTATACATACAGTAGAACTCAAAGTGAACACCCTAACCCAGATGAGATCATAGAATCTTTACTAAAGGATTTCATCTTAAGAATAGTATTACACCACTGTACAGCACACTTATACATCAATCACTTCCCCCCTTTTACAGTTATTAAACAGTTAAAAAAAAATTGAAAATGGAAACTAATCAGTGAATCACCACTAACCCATATCTTGTCAATTCACCAATAGAATGGTAAGAAGAATGATAAAAATGAAGACCTGTTTCAGTGCAATTCTATAAGCCTTTGTTATTTTGACATTCTATGAATTCTGTATAACAATGTTGATAAGATCTAGAAAGGTAAATACTAGATTTCCGGGTGAGGACAATGGTGGACTAAGACATTTCTGAGGAAGAGGAGAAGACATTGAGGTGGAGACTGATGGCCAGGTGACAGGCCTGCACCAATGGAAACTCTCCAGAGAAGAGGCTGCTCCTCGCAAGGAGACCATAGGGTTGCAGTCAACTCATAAGTCCAAGTGTCGGGAGCCACAGGAAAAAACATGAAGGTCACATCTACAGCGAAGCCTGTAAGAACACTGGGCTCACTAAAACCCCACTTTCTTAAGCACATTTGAATTACAATTACTTCAAAGCTAAAAGAGATCTTTGGAACAGCAGTTTAAAAAAAAAAAAAACTTCCAGTGAGTGACACTTCATTCCAGATTAAAGAAAAGAGTAAAATAGCAATTTAAAGGATTTAAGATCAATGGCAAAAAGCTTAACAAGAATTTAACCTAAGAAAATTTAAACTGGATTAAGGGACAAGTTAAATTTGTAATATCAGGATTTTTACTAAAGTGTTTTTAAAATAACTAATAGAATAGTACCTTCATTGGAACACAGACTGTAGAGTTCTAGTGGAAAGACAACTGGTGGACTTTGCAAAACAAAGAGAGAAAAGCAATCTGAGACAAACTATGTGACAATAGAATTATGGAATGCCAGAAGGGATGAAAGACTTAAGGACTAGAGAAAGGTGAAAAAGAAGAGGAGGGGGGGGGGAAGAGGGGGAAGAGGAGATCTCCCTTTTACTTTGGTTTTTCTATCTGATGAAATGGCTGTCACTTTTCTAAAGTAGTGAAACCTGTTACTTTTCTAAAGTAGTGGAACCTATAGAAATGAGAAAAACGGCTTCACACTTGAGACATTTCAAAAGATCTTTGAGGAATTGGGAAAGAATGTTATAGCTACAATAACAGCTTCAATAATTGCCTATGTGAATGTGCAGGACAACTGAATAGAAAGGTAATTAATTCAAAGTGAAGTCAAGGTGGAAATTTTGGAAAACAAGACAGAAATTTTGGAAAACAAAAAAGAGATAACAAACAGAGGAGAGATACAAACATTAAATGGATTACACGGATGATGGACTACTATTGGATTTACAAGAGAAAGGAGCATTTACAGAACAACTTGGTGAAAATAGTAAGGAGAGGGCTGCTGAAGCCTCAAAAGCATTTTTAGGATGGGCAAAAGAAGATATGGATGGAGAATATCCATATTGGAGAACAATATTTCAATGTCAAATTAAGGATTAACAATGTCAGAATACTACATAAGAGCAAAGAAAATAAAGTTGAGTTGTTTGATCAGGTATAAAGATAATAAGTACTTTTATAAAATACTGGAAACCCTTAATGGACTTTTTCATGAACCTAGACAGAACTGTCACTGATTTTTGGATCTGAGAGTTGAAATGGGGTGGAATATGGGAAGAAATGATATATGCAATGTAATTTCAAAGGGGGAGGAGAGAAATCAAGTTTGCTGGTACCTTCTGTAAGATCAGAAGTCACTTCTTTAAATATCTTTTCATCTTTGTCTTTGTCTTTTCTCTTTCTCTCTTTAATTTCATTTTCTATTAGCTTTTATTACTGATAAAAATATTCAATAAAATCATTTAAAAATAGAAATGTAAATACTAGATATATATACACCAACTACATAAATTCCAATCTCAAACATAGTGCAAGCGTCATAAGTTTGATATGACACTAATAGCCAGGAATAAGTGGAAGCAGAAAGAATGTTCTTTACCATATTGTTGATGTTCAGTGTTATTTTTCATCTTTCTCTTTCACTTTGAACCTCTTTGAAGCAAAGAGATTGATGTTAACATATGCAAAGACTCACCTCAGTTGCCTGTCCCTGCATACAGCAACCATCACCAGCAGATTCCCCAGGATAGCCATAAGAATAACTGCTGAAATAAAAGTGAGCAGCGTAATCTTCTCTGCCACGCCAAATCCCTCAGTTGAGCTGTAAAGGAGAGATATAGATGTGAATGCTTGGGAATATAAAGAGGTAGTGCCAGATTGGTTTGGTTATTCTAAATCTCTGTGCAAAATTTAGCCTCCCCATCTGCAGAAACTGCACTAATTTCCAACAGCTCCTGGTTGTAAATAAACATAATTTACAGGGAAAGCTTATTTATTTATTTGGTAGAGTGCCCAGTCACCCAATGAAACTGGGCTGCTTACAGGATTGAAAGTAATAAAAATAAACACTTCATGGAAGGTGACCAATCCCAAATACCACACACATTCTGAAGCTGAAAATGTCAGGACCAATTTTAGGACATTTTTCTTGATTGATTTCCCAACCACTTACTTGGATTTCAATATTCAAAATTGCTCTTCAATTAATTAATGACTGAGAAATTAAGTTTATATATCTTTCATTTTATTAGAACAGGTCACTCAGATATGCAATTCTTTGACCAAAAAGGTGGAACTGAGAACACCTGACAGATATTATCTGGGTTGGAAAACTACTGTTTTCCCAAAAACAATCCCTACATCAGTCAGAGCAAGCACAGACACCATGAAACATTCCCCTCATTTTTTTTTTTCATCTGAACCCATTTCTTGTGGTGCTGGGGCAACTAGCTAAGGCTGATATGGGAGATTATAAAAACAAAACAAAACATGCAACCTATAAAAGGCCATTACCAGCATGTTAGCTGGTAATGGCCTATACAGCATACCTCTATAACTGTCTGGTTTGATTCTGCAACCAAACAGGACAGACTCAGACTCCAACGGATAGTTAAGTCTGCAGAAAGGATAATTGCAACCCACCTGCCTTCTATAGAAGAACTGTATACTGTGCGGGTCAAAAGGAGGGCAGAGAGGATATCTGTATAGTTAAGTCTGCAGAAAGGATAATTGCAACCCACCTGCCTTCTATAGAAGAACTGTATACTGTGCGGGTCAAAAGGAGGGCAGAGAGGATATCTGTGGACTCTTCCCATCCTGGATATAAACTGTTCCAACTTTTTCCTTCAGGACGGCGCTACAGAGCACCATATGTTAAAACATCTAGATATCGGAATAGTTT